TTATCTTCTGTGTCTGTGTTAATTGGTTTCCCTTTTCTTTGTTGAAGAGGGTCTGTGCAATCCTTCTGCCTAGTCCGCCATCTTGCCCCGCCCCCTTCTGTAAAATTATTTTTAAGTTTCAATTCCTTTTTATTTAAAATGGCAGTAATAATAGTAATTAGCCCATAAGGTTGACAAGAAGACAAAGAGATAATGCATATAAAGTACTTACTACAGTATCTATCACATGCTAAGAACTAAATAAACATTAATGGCAGTAATAAACTAAGATACAAAGAAATATCTATTAAAACTGGATCAGTTAAGGCAGTGTTTAAATGTTATTTCTACTTTGCTGGATACATATTCTTTCTCATATAAAGGATTATAGTTTTAGCTAAACTATTCTATTAAAAGATATTCAAGAAAATCACAATTTACAATACATGAAAAGACAGAATTTCTTTTACTAACATACAGAAAACTATCATACCTGCATGCAAGTAAGAATCTTCAAAAAAGATCGAAAACCTTCAAGGAATTGCACTCTTAATCTTTCCGTCCATACTGTGGGTTTGCTGATCAGGATATATCTATTTAAGAGACAAAGAAATATTTCATTTCCCTGTTTTGAGATCATTTTAAGATTCTCATGACTAAAGACAACTGCTCAAAATTATGGACTCTAATTTCTTACTGTAATTAGAAGCTCTGACCAACTAGAATGAGTTATTGTTCTATTTAATACATCCAGCAAAAAGTGAATGCTCTACATGATGCACATATCAATAATAAGCCTGGCTTCTCCACACCACACCCTCAGAGATAGTCTGATTAAGTGACTACAACTGCCCTAGAAGGAGATCTGATGGCATAGTATTTAAAGTATTTAGCTATTAACCAAAAGGTCGAGGGTTCTAACCCACCAGCAGCTCCATGGGAGAAAGATGAGGCATCTGCTTCCATGAAGATTTATAGCCTTGGAATACCTATGGGGCAGTTCTATCTTATAGGGTCACTATGAATTGGAATTGATTTGACGGCAGTAGGTCTGTGGGTTGTAACTGCCCAAGTCTGTCACTGCTAACTGTAAACAAACATAATACAGATTTTCTCGGACTGTTTAGATTCATACCCTTCACCTAAAGGGCCAGCTGAAATCTCTTATTCAGCCTCAGGATATCTGGAACAGAATTCCTACCTCCACAGTTTCAAAAGCTAGAACCTAGGATTTAATAAGCATTCATGTCATCTTTTGCTTTACTTTTTAAAAAGGGGAATTGTCATTCATGTATGAGTTTGTTCATCAGAATGTGTATGTTTCATGAAATAAACAAACCACTTTAACTTACAATTTATAAGACCTTTGCTTGAAAGACAATGAGAACAATGTTTGTCATGGAATGATTTCTCAGGAAGCAACTGTTATACAGCAGACATTATGAATATAAAAGTGAAAAAGATACCCTTCATCTTTGAGACCTGCCCTTGAGGTTCAAATTGTAGTGGGGAAAACAGATACACATAGTGGACACTGCAATCCAATGTTAAGTGCAAAAGAGATACCAAGAAAATAATGTAGAAACATAAAGGACAAGGCAACAAAGACAGAAAACACATTTTTTTTTTTTTTTTACTAGTAAAGATAGTGAGGACTGGGGTTTAATTTTCCACTTTCTTTAGACATCCATTAATATGATGAATGCCATTAAAAATATAATCATTAAGCCCTTACCAAAGACATAACTTTGAAATACACTAATGACCATCTAAACCTTTCTTTTAAAGTAAAGGTGAAAAAGAGACTAAAGTTTGAAGTTTTTCACAATGAACAAAGGACATAAAGTTTGGCTATTTTCTAAAGCAGTGCTACTGAGAGTGTGGTCCACAAACCAGAGGCATCAACATCACCTGAAAGTTAGAAATGCAGAATTTGGGGCTTTATACCAGACTGAATAAGAATCAGCTTTTTCACAAGTTCCTCAGTTAATCTGCATTCATATTAAAATCTGAGAAACATTCTTCTAGAGTAGAAGAGAATTTACATTTCTAATTTCTATTGACTTCATATAGGTCATGTCTAATTTCTGTAGCAAGTAAAGATTAAAAAAAATATTAAAGAAAGAGTAAGAAAGATGACAATGTTGAATTTTACCCAAGTCCAGTGATCCTGGAAACATCGATGATTAAGGAAATTTCCCCTCCCTTTTACGTTCCAGAGAGCAGCTGACCAAAGTGGTGTTGTTTTCCTCAACTTGACCACAGTTTAGGCAGGCTTCTTCCTGACTTCTAGGCCTCTGATATCCCTTCTCAGTGAGTGATTCTTACATAATCCAGATGGTACATATTCCATCTGGCCTTAACATAAATTTGGGAGATTAAAGAGATCCATGTGATCAACCCCACAACCCCACATTTTTAATGTTGTTCCTTAACCTCCCTTAACTTCCTCTGGAGTCCCTAGGTGGTGTAGTTAAAGCACTCAGCTGTTAACCAAAAGGCTGGAAGTTCAAATCCACACAGAGGAACTTCGGGAAAAAGTTCTGGCAATCTACTTCCAAAAAAATCAGCCACTGAAAACTCTATGGTGCACAGTTCTACTCTGACACACATGCGGTTGCCATGAGTTAGATTCCGCTCAATGGCAGTTGATTAACTTCCTTCAGTATTTTTCAACTAGTTCTGTCCAGTCTTTAAAAAGCCTCCTGCCCGCTGCATCAGTGGATCTGAGATGATACTTGGTTTTGGATGTTCTCCCCTTTTGCAAGAGCCTCCCCCAAGCCCCTTCCTTGAAATAATCCTTTTTGAACACAGTCATCCTTGCCTATTTTAACAATGTTCAGTGCAATTTTCTTTGAAAAAAGAAAGGAAAAGGAGTCCGTAGATAAATATATATGGTAAAATCAATGACAGAAAAGGAATAAAAGCAAGGACAGGGTGCAAGAATATGAGGGTGATTTGATTTGAGTCCCTAATACTTTTTAGAAAAGAGAACACAGGAATAGATTAGAGAACTAGAAGGATGTTGTTCCTTAAAAGAACCAAAGTTCAACTTTATCGCTTTTTCAAGTTTTATCTCCACAATGAATTAGCAACTGAGAAACAAAGTATTCTATCACATATTCCATAGAGAGAGGGACAAGCGAAATTAAATTATTAGAGGCATATTATTTAGAATGTTGTTGTTGTTGTTGTTATATGCCATCGAGTCGGACTCGACTCATAGCGACCCCTCCTTGGGTTTCTGAGGCAGTATCACTATGGAAGTAGATTGCCCAACTTTCCTTCTGAGGAGCGGCTGGTGGGTTTGAACCACCAGCCTTCTGGTTAGCCGTCAAGTGCCTTAGGCACTACGCTACCAGAGCCATATAATTTAGAATGAGGGAGGTAATAATCTCTCCCTTGTACTCTCTACTGGGTAGATGTCAGTTGGAGTACTGTTTACTTTTTGGCATATACTTTAAGTGATACACATTCAACTGGAATGGGTTCAGAAAAGAAAGACAATGATTCAGAAGGGATTTTAAACAATATGAAATTGGAACAGTTTAAGAAACGAATGCAACTTAACGTAGAAAAGCCTTGGCAGATAATATTGCTGTCCTTAAATATTTCTTCAAGTTAAATCAGAAGTAAAGTTGTTTTGAATGGACAGAAGGAGAGCTAGAACCAGAGACTGAAAGCTACATAAAGATAGGACTCAATATAAATAAGAAACTTTCTAATAGTCGAAGGGGCTACCCAAGATTTGGAGTGCACTGTTTTGAGAGAATGAAAGTTTCCTGAGGCAGGTTGAACAGAGTATTTTTGTAGTACCAACAAAACTTGTTTCTGTTGAGTTATAATCAGATAAATTAGAGGATACAGTTAGAGTATGGAGAGTTAAAATTCTGGAAGAATTTAGACTTTATTATGGACATAATTAAAATATATTACCTATTTCTAATTGATAATGAAAACATCAGGGTTCCAGAAAGAAGCAGTCAATGAATGAGTATTTTAGGATATAATTAAGATATGACTGCAAGATTGCTATAATGACAGAGTAAGAAAATGAGTCCAAATAATTATTTGTGAAACAAAAAATGTATCTCATGGGTGTTTTAGCCAGGTTTCAGAGCAGGTTTTGTTGCTGTTGTTTTTCATGCATTCTGTGAGGCTACATGATGTAGTGAAAAGAACATGAATTTTACTGATAAACAGTACTAGGCTCGAATACCAGTTCTGCCACTTACAAGCTTTGCAACCTTAGGCAAACAGTGTACAAATTAAGACTGTATCATCTACTTTATGAGAATGTTCCAAGAATAAAATGAAATAAAATAAGTAAAGCTCCTTGGAATACAGCATTTGCTAGTAAATTTTACAGGCTCCTTGTGAGAGGGAATCACATAAGAACATATGATAAAGCCTAACATATTACCTTTTGAACAAGTGCTCAAAATATGTAAATTTTCCCTTCCACTTATCACTAGCAATATCTACATTTTGGTGTGAGAATAGGGGAGAAGTTGTAAGCACTGGTAGAGTGGGAAAACTTTAAAGTTACCTTTCAAATGAGTGTCTCTAAATTTCTATTACATGGGTAAGTATCTAGGGACATAGTAACTCTAAATTACTCCCCACAGAGAATAACTATAGTCAGAGATTGCTAAAACAGAGGATGTGATTAGCACCATTTCTCTGAATACAAAAATAACTCAGTTATAATACTTTATAATAATGAGGATCACAATAGGGAAATTTTTTCCTGTACAGTAGACCCAGGGTATTTACTCACTTAATACCAATGATAACTTTAAGTACTGCCACTGGGTTGCTTTTATTTCTGTTCATGTTTTTGTATGTGTATGCATAATATATAATTCATGCCTACTTGGTCTAAGGAACAAATTTGAATAACACTGGCTATTTTTGGTGATTCATTACTGAATTCACCCACTATCTCTACCTCTACTAAAGATGTGATAACATTATAATTTACTGGATTTTAACGGGAGATTTACATGCCATAATTATATTTAGAAATTGAGGAATCTGAAAAGGTTTTGAAGTATTTTCCTCAGTAATACCAAGGATCCACAGCAAAGTTCCAGAAATCTGTCATATGTATTTTCAAATGGATGAAACTATCTCTAAGTTCAATCGGAAGCCTGTTGTTTCCACTCCTGAATACCCTGCAAAGTCACTAGAAGAAGTAAACAAAACTAGAAGGATTACTTTCCGAGAGACTAAAAATAATCATGTATACCTTGGAGCTCTTTTTTTAAACAGCAAACTGAAGGATTAATATATTCTTCTAAAAAAGAAATTTTTGTAGGATTTATAGAATAGTTAATGTCTTTAACCCTTATAAAATTCAGCATTTATTTCTAAAATAAATAGAAATTAATTTCTTTTTAGGTCCAATGATCTTAAACACAACCTATCAAGTGATTCTAACTTCAATTTAAAAAGAATCTTTCAATTCTCTTCACAGAGAAAAATTTAATGAAGTAACCCTTGATTAACATCAATAACTTGATTCTATGTTTATGAAAAGTTGTCCCTGGGTGGTGCAAACGGCTGAACGCTTGACTACTAGCCAAAAAGCTGGCAGTGTGAACCCACCCAGAGGCACCTTAAAAGACAGGCCTAGAGATCTGCTTCTGAAAGGTCACAGCCTTACAAACTCCGTGGAGCAGTTCTGCTCTGCACATATGGGTCATCATGAGTTGGAATTGACTTGACAATAACTAACAACACGAAAAGGAGTTAAAAAAAAAATCTGCATCAATACGATCATCTGAAACTATGCACAAAGAAACTACAGAAGAGGGATAGAACCAAAGTCCTTCAGCATGAGTGAAAGAAGATTCATTTAGCAACCCTAAGTGAAGATAGTTCCTATGACAGATAGGCCCTCTTCAGTTACACCTTCTGTATTAACCTGATTTCACAACTCAATAAGAAGCTTCCACTTAAGAAATTTAGTGGAAAAGTAAGGCAGGAAAAGTTCTTTGTATTTGCCATTATGATAAAGAGAATCTTAGATCAGAGGTTTATTTGTAAGACAGACTATTTTACAGGCACCTTCACCTTTTGACCCAGGCAACTTACTTTAGGTCACATATTACCGCATATACTCTTCCCAATTTGTCCTGGCTATAACCCTGGAAGTTGAATTTATTGTTCCTGTCCAAGTATTCAGGTAAAACTTCTAGAAGAGTTTCAGTAATGACAGAAATAACATTCTGTTCTTCAATAAGATGTCGAGCCTGCAGAACATTTCAAGAATATTGCCTTTAGCATTAATTCATCATAGTATGGATTTTATTCATTTATTTGAATATAAATATCTATCATTTATTTGCTTGGTCAGAAGTTATTTTTAATGTTTATTGGGCACCAAACAGCTTCATTTCACAGAATAGTAATTACTGAAGTTATTTTCTAAAAGTAAAAATTCCTGTTGTTTGTGGTTGTTATGTGCCGTCAGTGAGACAGCAGTATCACTACGGAAGTAGATTGCCCAACATTCCTTCCAGGAAGTGGCTGGTAGGTTTGAACCACCAGCCTTCTGGTTAGCATTATGCTACCAGAGCTCCCCAAAATTCCTAATTCTCAGTATCTAGAAAACATGTGTGTGGACAACCCAGCCCCATTATACAAGCTATCTACATAATCAGCCCATTACATAGGGTATCTACTCAAGTGTTTATCATCAGTAATCACACAGTGAGAAAGGAGAACAAACATGCTTTCTATTGCATCTCTATCTATTGTGGTATTTCCCCTCCTGTTCATTCTCAACCCAACCTTTCTTCCCCATCCTTTTAAAAAGGAATAGTTAACCAAAACGTCCAGAAGAAACAGTGAAAGGAGTACAGAAAGAATCCTCACGCTTCTTCCAGGCCTACGGGGCACTATCGCGAGTAAATGTTTGACAGTCATAACCCTCTATTTTCTTACCTTTTTTTTTTTTTTTAATTATTTTTTTACTTTTTATTGTAATTTGGGTGAAAGTTTACAGAGCAAATTAGTCTTCCATCATCAATTTATACACATTATGTTTCATGACACTGGCTGCAATCCCCTCAATGTAATAGCATTCTTCTCACTTCCTCCTTGGGTTCCCCATTCCCATTTCCATTTGACCTCTTTCCTGCCCCTTCCTGCCTTCTAAAGCTTTGTTTTGGGGCAAATGCTGTCCTTTTGGTCTAATACTGTTGACTATACTAAGGAATACATTTCTCTGTGGTGTTTTTTTTTTTTTAATTTAAATTTTTCTCTTTGGTGTTTTTATTCACTTTACAGGCCTATCTATTGTTTGGCTGAAGGTTGATTCTTGGGGTAGGGGATCAGCTCCAAGCTTTAAAGGTGTCTAAGGGTCACAGTCTTGGGGGTTTCCCTTCTCACTTTTATCTTTCTCTGATTTATCCCCCAAGCAATAACTAAAGAACAAAAGAATGGTAAAAAAGAACAATTATTTTGGTAGAAGAGGCAGTGCTCCTAAATTTCTCTAGAAATCTGGACACCACCTCTGGACTTCACCTGCAGAGTATCAGGACATTTGGAGATAGGTAAAGTTATCTAACTCTTGGGTATTAAAGTATTATTCAAAATCATCTTAGTGATCCTGACATTGTTTCAACTTAATTCAACACTAAGTAAAATTTTTAAAAAGTAAAATAAGTATATTTAGAAAGACTGCAAAGAAATCATCAATACATACCAGAGTAGGGACAGTAAACATCTGCACTGAGAGTGCAGTTACAGAGATATTTCTGTCATGATCATCACTGATATATTCTTTCTGCAACTGTTTATAGTACTGAAAGATATAATTAGAATTGATTACAAATCACTACTAAAAACTTTTACAATTCCAATTTTAGCAACTGCTATAAGTTTGTTTTTATCTGTAAAATGAAAAGTAATAAAATTCCTATTTATTAAGGCAATAATATAATGGTCAACAAAATACATTCCAAGCAATTAGAGAGTAACAAATAAAAAAATCAAGTATGAATTCAGTGACCCAAACTAGCAGAGTTGGAAGCAAGAACTACACAAAACAAACCACCAACAACAAAATATGCACACAGGTAAAAATCACAGAGGACTGCAATGGCACAGTATGGTATACACAATCTTTAGAAGATTCTACCCCCATGGTATATAGGGTAGGAGCTACATTCAAAGTAATTAAAAGCTGATATGGTCCAGAAAACAAACCAATCAGATTCAACCCAGGCAACAAATAGATACTGGCTGCAAATAACTGCTGATCTGTGCTGGTACATAACAACTAAAAATCAGCACTGACACAGTGGGAGAACAAAAATAATAATACACACAGTCATATCTCAAGCATCAATTAGGTGTCAACACAGTACTGGAACTTGACCTACATAATTAATTTTATCCTCCAGAATTCCTGTAAGGTTTAAGAAGTGACCATGACATACAACAAAATACCAAGTAGGGAGATTAACTTTCATGTAAGAAAAAAGAATTTTAATTTCAAATCACAGATATAATCCAAGATTCTACCTCTATAAAGAGTTCTGGAAGAGCACAGTTAACATCTCTGCCATCACCTTTTAAGTACGAGACATATACCAAACATCTTCGCTGCTTTTAGCAACCTACTTATAAAATTCAGGGAGTATATGTTATCTTATTCCACAGTATCATTTGTCTACCACAATCACTCCTTCTCTGCTTCCAATTCCAATGTGGATCTAACTCTAGCTGTGTCTTAAATCTTACAGAACTGCCTCCAACTCAAAATTAGAGAAAGCCAACAAGTCACCTTCAAGGAAGTTCCTGTCTTGAAATCTAACTTGGGAAACAGATAAAAAGATACAACAATGTGAAGATAAAACAACAAAAAAGAAGCTTTAAGTTTTACCTTTATGTTTTAGCCTCAAATAGTTAAGTATAACTCTTGTCCACCTAATTTCTATCTACCTTTAACCTGAACATCTATTCTCTTCCTCGCTATGTCTTTCAAGTAGTCACTTCTCTTCTTGTTATAGTTTTACTCACAGACAAAATGATTAAAAAGGATAAATGCAGGTGTGAATGTGATAAACTCCCTTTGCCTGGCCTAGGCAAATAATAGGTCATTTTTCACTTATCTCCCTTCCCAGACTACGGTCTTCATACTATCAACTGCAATTTGTAACTACATTTATATAACAACTTTTGAATAACAAATAAATCATAAAAGTCAATTTTTTTTTATTCATAATTATCTTGTTTTTATTATTTCACTTAAAAAAAAATTGCCTTATATTCCTATTTAAGGAGCTCTGGGGACACAGTGGTGCAAAAGCATTCGGCTGTTAACCAAAAGGTTGGCGTTCGAACCTACCAGCTGCTCCACAGGAGAAAGATGAGGCGGTCTGCTTCCTTAAAGATTTACAGCCTTGGAAACCTTATGGGGTGGTTCAAACTCTGTCCTACAGGGTTGCTATGGGTCAGAATTGACTGGATGGCAGTGGGTTTGGCAATGGGTTATTCCTATTTACTGACATCTATTTATACATAAAGAGTAATTACCTTCACAAATTCCATAGCAAAGAGCTTTTTGTATTCCATCTCCATAAAAAAACTGCTGAAGATCAATTCGTGAAGGATCTTACGGGCACCTAGTGGTCATTTTTTTGGGAGGGGAGGTATATCATCAAGACAAAAGGAACATTTCAGCTATTAGAAGTGGCAAAATATTATAAAAATACTTCTCATGCTAATAGACCTCAATATGAATAGCATTTATTGTATTAATATTTAATAGTTAAAATTTTAAATACACAGGTTTGCCTTTTCTCTCTTTTTTGCACCCCTCCCACCATTTAACCTTATTTCATTTTATCCTCTCCCAATCTTTCTCCTTTCTTTTTCACTCTATTTCCCTCAAAACTGCTCTGTTTCTGTATTCTCCCTGCTTTATCCCTATTAGCCTTCCCTTTCTTTTGCTTTTTATTCTTCATTTAGATTTAAAAAATAACACAATAGCACTACATGAATATATACATACATTATTTTTTACTGACCCTGACTAAATGAAAAGGCACTATAATTAAAAGTCAGTAGCCTTGAGTTTTAACCCAGAAGAGTAGATATTGATTGACAAAGCTTACCTTAAATATAACATCTCACCAGTCAAGATCACTGACTTAATAACCAGAATACAAAAGATATTATAACTCTACCTTAAGTCATAAGCAAAGCTCTACCTACCTTTATAAAGCTTTGCATCCCATAGCATTAACTTGCTTATGAGACAGGGATTCTCAGAGCCAGGTTCTTCTCTTAGACATGCTTGGCAAAAGATCTGTCTAAAGTCACCTACAAGAAGTCACATAATTTTGATTCTTAAGGTATTTCTCCCAAAAGTAGGTTTCCTATAATAATCTATGAAAAGATTAACATAAATACTCCCATACTTGATATCAAGAATAGTTCTGTCAACATAAAGACTCATTTGTTATTTAAAGGATTAAGAGCCAATAAAAGATATTATTTATAGCATTTGAAAAGTAATCCTGAAAATTACCCAAAATGTATAAGCCAAAAAAAAACAAAAGAGAATTTTATTTTATATTCAATGACATTTTAAATGTACGACTAAGAAAAAAACAAAAACAGTATATAAGGCAAGTAGGAAATAAAAGAACAGGCTATATGCTTACTTGAATAGCTCATTATTTTGTTCATCCAGGAGCCAAGACGCAAAGCAAATTTCTGATGAGCCATAACTTCAGAGTGTAATACTTCTACATGAAGAGGATGTTGAGAGACATTTTCTGAATGACTCTATACATGAAGGAATATTAAAAAAAAATTGATTTAACTTTGCTTTTAATTAAGTGATCTGTTCTTCAAAAAAAGAAAGAAATCAGATAAATGTCATAGTTCCAAATCTCTGGGTCTAAATACCCTAGTGCTATCTTTACTTAAGATGTCTAACTATTTAATCTTTCCATTGGGCTCTTGTAACATGCATTTCTTTTAAATTTTTCTTTTTTATCCCTAATTCAGAAAGTTACCTTTATATCTTCTTTTGCTTCCTGGCAAGCAGCATAAGCACCTGCTTTAACAGCTCGACGACCCTAATTACAGACAAAAATAAGAATTAGATAATGGAATGACAATGCCAATCTGTAAGTTATAGACAGCCCAAAGTCCTAATGAGTTCTCAATTATCAATTGCTTGAAGGCAACCTAAAATTGGTAAGATGATAACTAAAAATCAGATGTAAATGTTTAACATCTTTATGAAGCTTCAGAACTTTCAATACCTCCAGAAGAGAATTTCTACAGTTTAGGATGATAGGTTTCTAGCCTGGCAAGAATGTCAGTTCCTTACTTATTGTAGTGTATTCTATTTTTATCAGATAATAACAATAACTGAGGTTTACTAAACTCCTATGTGTTTCAAGTTGTTGTTGTTGTTAAGTGCCGTCGAGTCGTTTCCGACTCATAGCGACCCCATGCACAGCAGAACGAAACACTGCCCGATCCCGCACCAGCCCCACAATCCCTGCTATACTCGAGCCCATCATCGCAGCCACTGTATCAATCCATCTCGTTGAAGGCCTCCCCCTCTTTCGTCGACCCTCCACCCTACCAAGCATGACATCCTTCTCCAGGGAATGGTCCCTTCTTACAACATGACCAAAATAGGTGAGACGAAGTCTGGCCATTCTTGCTTCCAAGGAGCATTCTGGCTGCACTTCCTCCAGGACAGATCTGTTAGTTCTTTTAGTAGTCCATGGTACTTTCAGCATTCTTCGCCAGCACCACAACTCAAAAGCATCAACTCTTCTTCGGTCTTCCCTATTCATTGTCCAGCTCTCACATGCATACAAGGTGATTGGAAATATCATGGCTTGTGTCAGGCGCACCTTAGTCCTCAAGGAGATATCCTTGCTCCTCAGCACTTGAAACAGTTCCTTCGCAGTTGACTTTCCCAATGCTACACGTGTTTCAAGTAGTTTTCATAAATGAACTCAGAACTGTGTATGTTTCATAACATGCTTGTGGCCCATGAATGGGTTAGAGGTGTGGCTGAGATACTGATCCCTCAAGCCCTGAAAGCAGCCAAGCAAAGTCTATGTAGGACTAACTGGAACATCACTCTTTTACCCAACCATAAAAATATCATTTTCTACATGTGTCATGATATGATATGGGTCAGGAACCACTGCATTCTTCATTTAACTGTTATACACCCTATGATGAAGGTGCTATCATTATCTCACTACAGATGAGAAAACTAAGATACAGAGAAGTTAGCTTGTCTCCAATTCACAAAGTTAGTAAGTGGTAGATCCAGGGTTTGATGATAGGCAGTCAGTCTCCAGAGCCTGAACTCCTAACCACCATGTTCTATTCCCTTTCTAGATCCTTAGTGTGTACGTGTAAGAACTACCCAATATGTTTGGACTATTAATTACACCAGTGAGGTTTTTAGTACAGAATGTACAAAAAAGCCAAGATACAAAACATTAAAGAACAGATAAGAAAATAATAGCCATATGCTTCAAGCCTACAGATGCATGAAATACTGGCAATCAATTTAAAACAACAGATCTCAACATGAATGGGAGAAGCAGAACAGATCACTTGAGGAGCCAGCTTTTTCAAACTACAGCTTTGTGTCACTTAATGGTGATGCTATGTTCTACGAAATAGGATGCTATGTGTTTTGGCAGCTGTGTAAACACCATATTACATATAGTACATATGTTTGTATATATTCAATACACAAATATCAAAGTAACCCCCTAGCAAGTGCTCTGACTCCCTGTTAGTGCCCTGAGCCTCAGGGTTACCTGCAATTGGCTGCTTTTGGGCGCATGGTGTTCTTTGAGCAGACCCTGGGGAGCATGGTTGGAATGGGAAGGCCCAAGGAAAGGAGTGTTGCAGCAGTATTTCCCTACAAGCACTGACCTACGGGGAAGACAGGCAGGGCACGTGCCAATAGAAGCTAAAGAAGCTGCCACAGTTATCCCTGAGGCTGGGAACTGTAAGCTGGAGCAACCCATGCTGTGGCTTGAGGGCTGTAGCTGCTGAAGCCTAGATGCACTGTCACTTCTGCTATAGTGCCATAAACTCAAAGCAGGCCCTACATCCTGGTGCCCTTCCAAAAGTAAGTCCCTCTTCCCCACTCCGTGCAACGAATATGAAGTGTGACATATCAGAATGGACATTATGCAGCATATACCTGTATATGGGTATTTCTTTCTCTTTCTCTTTTTTGTTCTCCCAATTCTGATGCACAAGCTTGGGCTGGCATTTCTACTTGGAACAAAAATTTTTTTCCCCAAGTGATTCTAGTAAGTTCCCTTTATGTTCACATTATGACTGAAAACACAGAATTATAAATATACATCTTTATGAGTATACTAACTGTGGTAGTTGTTATGTGTCAACTTGGCTGGGCCTGGTTTTCAGTGGCTAGGCAGCTGGTTGTAGTCATTCCCCATGATGAGACTGGCTATCCACTATCTGCCCTGAGTAGCTGAATAGTTGCTTTAGGGATGTAGTCTGTTTCCAGTATATAAAGAGAAGCTTTGAGAATGGTCTGCAGTTTTTAGCCCACTTGGACCCTGCATGGAGCTGAGTCTTCTTTCAGCAGGCTGCCATGATTCCTGCTGATCTTGGGACTATCTCTGGACTTGAACTAGCAGTCTGCCATGTATGTTGTTTGGTAATTTTGGGACTGTGCCATTTTACTTGTAAACCTTGGGCTTGTTAACCACAGCAGCCAGCAGGTGCCTGAGTGAAAAGACACCTTTCTTAGCTTCAGTGGACTGGGAGCAAGAGACAGAGCTAAAGCCCAAGGTTGAAGGGCTTTCACCCAGCCCCTAGAGCTGGCACTGTGAACTCAGACTTCTAGCCTCCAAAACTGTGAGAGAGTAGTAAATCCCTGTTTGTTAAGACCACTCTTTTGTGGTATATTTTCTATTAGAGCAGCAGGAAGTAACCAAAACACTAACTGCAAAACAATCTCATCAAGGCAGGAAGTACATTTTTCACCTAAATCAGATGTACAGCATCACTTCACATCCTATTTTTTTCCTTTAAATGAGCAAGTAACCATGGCTTTTCTCGCCACCATAATCACGTTATGGGGCCTTGGCAACCAAAAGCAAGCCAGCCTACAAGTAGGTAGGTTAGCTGTAGCCACAGCCTTCTCCGTTTTGATGACAGAAGAGAATAGCAAGAGATTAGTAACAAAGAAAGGAAGGAAAAGATAAAGGTCAAGAAGAGATAGGCCAAACAATGGAAGACTTAGACCTTTTCTAGTCCATTTGCAAACCAACAAAAGCCAGCCCTAAGCTAACTCTTCTGGAAAGCTAGTGTACTGTACTGGTAAGTGATTTTTCAGGGTGTCATAATATCATTGTAGATCACAGTAATGCTATAGGTGTATCTTGTTATCTACCAAGCTTTTCTCTTAAAATCGCCAATGTTAACCTTGTAGATAAGATGGCAAAATATGGAATGGGAAAGAATACTGTTACACTTTTTAAAATCTCTTCAATTTCAGCTTCTTGTGTAAGAATGAGAGAATAAGTTTTCAAAGGCAGAGAACATACTGACCCACTTTTGTATTCCCTCTAAGTGCCTCTATAAAGGTTTAGTGAAAAAGCCATATAGGAAGGTTCACAATCCTGGTTTTAAAACACTATAAAGCCATAATAAAAGTGTGGTATTGGTATAAGGACAGATACACAGACCAATGGAATACAAGTGAGAATCAGGAAATAAACCCAAACACATATGGTTAACAGATTTTTGACAAGTGTGCCAAGTCCATTCAGTGAGCAAAGAACAGTCTCTTCAATAAATGGTATTAGGACAACTGGATCTCCTTAAAAATATTAAGAGTGGACTCATACCTCACAACATACATAAAAATTAATTCAAAATGGATCAAGGACCCAAGCATAAAAACTAAAACCATAAAACTCTTAGAAGAAAATATAGGGGCAATGCTTCAGGACCCAGTTCTTTCAAATATATTCTTGGATATGACATGAAAAGCATGAGCAAAAAATAAATTAATTAATAAATAAAACAGACTTTATTAAAATTTAAAACTTTTTTTCCATTGAAGGTCTTTACCAAATAATGAAGAAACAACTTACAGAATGGGAGAAAGTATTTGGTAACCATATATACCTGATAAAGGCTTAACATCCAGAATATATAAAGAATTTACACAATTCAACAATAAAAAGACAAACAACCAAATTGAAAAATGGATAAAGGACTTAGATATTTCTTCAAAGAAGAGATACAAATGGCCAAAAAGCACAGGAAAAAATGTTCAATGTCATTATTCCTTTAGGAAATGCAAATGCAAAACAGAAGTAACAAGTGTTGACAAGGATGTAGAGAAACTGCAACCCTCATCCATTGCTGTGGTAGTAAAATGGTGCATCCACTGTGGAAAAGTTAGTTGCTGTTAGGTGCCATTGAGTCGTCTCCAACTCATAGCAACTTCATGTACAGCAGAACGAAAGACTGCCCGGTTCTGTGCCAGCCCCATGATCCTTGCTATACCCGTGCCCACTGGTGCAGTCACTGTGTCAATCCATCTTGTTGAGGGCCTTCCCCTTTTCGTTGACCCTCCACTTTGCCAAGCATGATATCCTTCACCAGGGAATGGCCCCTTCTGACAACATGACCAAAGTAGATGAGACAAAGTCTGGCCATTCTTGCTTCCAAGGAGCATTCCAGCTGAACTTTTTCTAGGACAGATTTGTTAGTTCTTTTAGCACTCCATGGTACTTTCAGCATTCTTTGCCAACACCACAACTCAAAAGCATTGACTTTTCTTTGGTCTTCCTTTTTCATTGTCCAGCTCTCACGTGCATGTGAGGCAGCTGAAAACATCATGGTTTGTGTCAGGCACACCTTAGTCTTCAAGGAAACATCTTTGCTCTTCAGCACTTGAAAGAGGTCCTTTGTAGCAGATTTGCCCAATGCTATACGACGTCTGATATCCTGACTGCTACTTCCACTGGTGTTGATTGTAGAACCAAGTAATATGAAGTGTTGACAACTTCAATCTTTTCTTCATTTATCATAATGCTGC